CCCCCCCCCCCCCCCCCCCCCCCAACTCTCCTTCTTGCGCTGCACGCACCCACAGGTGCGAATGACTCACCCGCACTCTCTCCTCTTTGCTCCTCCGCAGATGGGAGGCCGGAAAGCCTGCTCCAGCACTGGAGTAAATGCGCGCACAAAAGGGCATGAAAGGTCGTCACGTAACAGCGCTTTCCGTGCGTCATGTGCACTCGACTGAGAATGAGCGCTGCGTCCAGACCACTTTGTTGTCAAAACCCCCAAAAAAAAGATCATCGCAAAGGAAGATCTTGAGAAGGTTGCCGCGCTAAGCGCAAGATGACCCCACATGTCTAGTGCTGCGCTTGTTCGAGTCTTTATTCGTCGCTCCGAGCTCTTGCAAAATTTTCAAAATCTTCGATAGACCATTAATACTCTGAAGTGGGCGTGCGCCGTCTTACTAGATACAACACAAGGGAGCGGCCATGGGGGGTCCTGATGGGTTCAACTTGAGACTCGGCGAGCGAAAAGGACAAAAGCTTGAATGGGAATGTGAATCTGCGACATTTGTCGATCTTGTGAAGCTTTGCCCTTTAACTCGCAGATGCACGGAAATTTGGAGAGAAGAAAGAGTAGGGGGAAGCAAGAGATGCCGCAAGAGAACTCGCTTCTGATTACCTCGAAGTCGGATTTGAGGATGCATGAGCTAGAGCCCACAATTCAGCCGGGCTTGACCAGTCCCATGAAGCTCTGCCAAAAGGCAGGATCAAAGGCAGGGGCGGCATTGTTATCGGGGGCAGGGGCGGAATTCCAAGTTTGAGTGGGTATCGGCGCGATGGGCACTCCGCTCGCATTGTTCGGCGCGCTGTTGGTATTGCCATTGAGCGAGTTGTACGTCTGGCGCTGCTGTTGCTGTTGCTGTTGCTGTTGCTGCTGAGGTGGTTGAGACTGGGCGCCAAGCTCCGCTTGAGCGAGCGGAGTCGGCGATGCTGCAAAAAAGTTATTTCCGTACTGAGGTTGAGCATGCAAAGCGCTTGGCGCAGCGGCAGGCCTGTTCAAGAAGTTGTTACCTCCCGTAATACTGGCCGCGCCATAAGGCATCGCTGTTGAGATCAAGCGATCAAAGCCTGCCAAGCCATTACTGTTGAACTCATCGTGCACCACGCTGCCTCCCTGCTCAAATTCGGCTCGCCACCAATTCTCGAGCAGGGCTTGAGCAGTCTCGGCCTCTTCGGCGCGCGTCGATGTTCCCGGCGTTGATGGACTAGGTCCAGATTTGGCGCCGGAGGCAGAGGACGGGCTGCTGGTGCTGACCCCTGTATAAGAGCTTTGCGGTTGGCTGTCACTTCGTCCAAGACCAAGCAGCAAGCCTGCAGTAGCGTGCGCGTCGCCTTCCTCGTCCACAGCTCCACCTGTGCCCCGTCTCGCTTTGCGTGAGCGACTGCGTTCCGCTCCGTCCTCACTTCGCTCACGCTTCGACCCAGAAATGGGCTCGCCAGCACGAAGCGCATCCAGCCGCGAGATGAACAGCTCGAGAATCGCTAGCTCCCTGTCCCTCAACTCGTCGGGCGCCTCTCTGGAAGCCTTCGCACGGACCCTCTCGCAGTACTGCTCCAGGCAAGAGCGCCACACCAACGTCTCGTCGCCATGCGGCTCCATGAGACTTGCGACGCCGAGTGTCAAGCAGCTCGAGAAAGCTCGATGAGACGCACCCAGGTGCAGTTTGAATCCATCTGGAATCTTGCCCGCATAGTGGTTGGTGAGGATGTGCACAAAGTCTCGTCGCATCATGACGTCCCGCAAAGCAGTCTGGATTGCGGCTCGTCGGCTGGGCATGAATCGTGCACCTGCTTTACCGCCCGCAGAGCGCAGCAGATATGGCCTATGCAGCGCACCACGCAGGAATGCGATATCTGAGTGTAGCAGGTAGCGATGAGTGAAGAGCCACAGCGGGCAGCTGGAATCGAGATCTTGATCAGCAACAATGTTGCCTGCGTTGTCGATAGGGCTTTGGAAGTATGGCGGGAGATTGGACGTGAAGTCTTCCAGCTCACCTTCGATGGCTAGCACATCGCTGTAATGCTTCGTCGGGATGCACTGATAAACGTTGATCACTTTCCCAACGAGTTGGCCCAGTCTCTGACGATGGATAGCATAGTCGAGAATGTGTGGAGGACGATAACCAGCTCGAGCTGGAGGCAAGCCGACGATCGAGGGTGCCATTGCCCGTGGATACACATCGTCAGCCGCAGAGCCTTCGATGAGAGGAGCTTTGGCGTCGCATACAGCGTCGTCAATCATAGTCGGCCGCCCAAGATTTGCAGCCAGCGCTCTCTCAAGCCAGGCAGTGGCGCCCCAGGCCAGTCGTCGCGCTTCCGATTCTTCTGGTGAGAGACCGAGGGTGGAGCCATCCCGATGCAGACCGATAGCCCATGCTGCGGCCACGGCATTGAGCGCCGCGCTCCAGCCTTCGGCCACACGTCTGTCAATCAGACAAAAGCGCGCAGACAAATTCCACGCAATCTGAGTAGGAATACAGCAATTTTCAGCATCGACTCGGATGCGAAGCAACGCATTGGAACTCACCACGTGATTAAGGTCGTGGCTGTTTGGGAGCATAGATGCGCACAATAGCTGCGAATAGGGCGCGAAGCTCGGGTCAGTCTGAAGCTTGGCGCTTGAGTCTTGTACACAGCTGCACTCACTGCCCGTCGCCCGGCAAATTGCAACCGCCTGGCAGTAAGACGCTTGAGACGCGGGTCCTCAGGATAAGCCTCAGCTCTGGGAAAGCTGAGAGTCGCAATCGCCAGAATGCAAACTAAGACAGCGTACGTGGTAATGTTGCTGGCGGTCAGCACTGGGCCCGAGGCCCAAAGCTCATCGAACTCTCTGCGGAGCGTAGTCTGGCTAAGTGGTTGCCGGAGCCAGTTGATGTCTTCGAACCAATGGTCGAGAAGGCTTTCCGCTAGGTGTCGGGGCGGCAAGGCAGCGACCAAGCTGTAAGAGACCGACAGCATTGCTCCCATCTCCGACATCGCCTCGTCGACTGTATGCGTATCCATGGTACGAAAAGGGTCCTTGATAACTCCAACGGGCTGACCTTGAAGCTTGTCCAGCAAGGCATCGAAGCGCAAGTTGTACGCTCCACTTGCGTGGAAGGTGCCGCCCTTTGGAGAGAGTCTACCTCCCTCGTTTGCATCGTCATCCTCCTCGACTGCCGAGGAAGGTCCTGCATTGGTCGCGCCAGCCGCTGCGCCTCTCGCGGCTGGTATGCGAAGTGGAGCGGGCAAGCGGCTTTGGTGTCCTTGCGCATTTCCGTAGCCTTGCGAAGAAGGATCGCGTGGTTGCCGAGCTACACCGTAGCCACTGTGATGTTGCGCTCCCTCGAGAAGTTGCGCGAGCCTATTGAAGCCGTCCTCGACGTGATGCTCAAGCCTCGTCAGCCGCGAAGCAACGTCATCCGCCTCCTCTCCAGGTTGGAAGGTCTTGCATCGCTCCGGTACTTTACGGGCGATGCAGTGATTACAAGGCGTCTAAAGTAGACAGAGCATAGGACGGTGAGAAAACGGCTTTTGGTCATGACTGGCTTGCTCAGCTCACCTCTCGGTTGCATTTTTGCTTGCGCCTATGGCATTCGGTACAACTGAAATGCACGCGCTGGCGCTTGGCGCCTGCATTCGACTTTCCAGCACTACTGCGGCTAGGGCCCGGATTCTCGTGGTGATTCTCATCGTGGACGCCATGCTGATCTTCGCCCATCACGGATCCGCTTTCAGAGCGCAGTCCAGCACCAGAAGCTTTGGCTTGGGCCGCATTCACGTCACCCGAAGAGCTCGGCAAGGTCTCGCCCTCGCTGCTGCCTGTAGCGTTTGCAGCCGCAGCCATTGCAGCTACGTCCTCTGAACTGTATTGCTGCTGCTGCCGATACACCTGGTTGTCCTGTGCCGCAGCGACATCCCCCTCGGCTTGTAGCTCGTAGAGATAAGCTCCGTGGGATGGCGGATCGCCTCCTCCCTCGGCGTCCCCAGTTGATCGACCATTGGCCGACATGCCTGAGCCTTTGATGATTCACTTTGGATAATCCGTCAGTGCTCGGGCGTGCGCAAGATCGGAATGGGCGGTGAAGAAAGGAGAATGAGGGGGCAGTGGACGCGAAGCGAGAGATGGCGAGTCACCTCGAGATCGAGTTCGCCTCATCTCCAGACCAGCAGCAAAGCGTGCAGCCCAATGAGCTCGCGCATGAAAGGTCCATTAAAAATCCGACTCTGGCAACGTGCGGCCGACAAGTCCGAAAGCAGCGAGAAGTCACGTGTTAGATGATGGCCCGTCGCCCTGAAAGGCACGAGAGCAGTGCGGCGAAATTCTGCAATGCTGCTGATGAGAAGCGCACAGGCCGTGCATGACCGCACACCGGAAAGCCAACCAAATCAGAATTCTGACTACCTGTATAGAGTCTGATGAGTGTGCCCAGAAACGACGGGCGTAGGGGTTCTTCTGCTCCGCTCACAGCACTCACGACTGCAGACGATTAGGTTGAGAAGGGCTGTGGCTGCTGCCTGCCTTCCTCGGGACGGGCTGTGCCGCGTGGATCGTTTTGGCGCATGACCTGAAGGCAGAGCCTCGTCAAATTACTGCTCAATCGTGCCTCACCAGCTATAAACGTTACAACGCTACAACGCTCGTGCTCACCACTGTTTCCATTTTTACACGCAGCTGTACATAGCGGCAATTGAAGAGGGGCAGCTGCCAAGGGGAGCGTCGCACATGACGCATCGAGGGACGACAGACCCATCAGCGTGTCGTGAACTCGTGGGTGACGAGAAATTTCATCCTTGCAGCGTGACCGCGCGCGATTCACGACTCCTGCTCGTTTACTACGATCGCAAATCACGAACGAATCCCTGCGCATGTGTGTGCCGTTCAGCACAGCACCAAGCGCTCACAGGCGAGCTGCTTTGCCCGTCGCATATTTGAGTGCGCACATTCACAGCGGATGCTGTGCGCTGCTGCATGGCTGGATGCTCGCCGTGCCGTGCTCCGTATTTTTTCTTTGGCCTGCTGGACGGTGCGGTGCGAAAGGGGCTGACGTGCAGCTTGGCTGACTGAGAGGGCATGCACCCAGCATATGCGTCTTGCTCATCTCGCGTGAGCACGGGCGCACAAACCCCGTGCGTCTCCTATAGCTAAAATTTGCCTCTGGGCCTCTCGCGTGCAAGGTGCTAGCGCGACGCAGCACCAGCAGCAGCCCGCATGATGGACCAAACTCTGACTGATGTTTGGAGTCAGAAGTGTGTGTTGCAATCCTGCGAGTGTTGACTTGTCGAGCTGACACGACACGGGGCGCCAGAGCAGGATGACACGAGAATTCTGCTGGATCCTGCCTGCCCCTCGCCCAACGAGCGTGCCGCCCTGACAGGCAGGCAAGTCGCGGGCGGGCATTCAGATTGTGATTTATGATCTACACCCTGAACCGGGCTTGACATCAAACTTGGTCCATTAGATCCCGGGGCGCTCTGAACCATTCCACCACCACCAACACCACCTAGTTCTGCATCCTCACGAAAACGAACCTTCGCCTTTGAGCGCACAGTCATTCTCTGACCCCAACAGCAACAGCCACGCTTCTTTGTAACGATGCAGTTCCGCACTCTTGCACCCGTCGTCCTCTTCGCCGCCATGGTGGCTGCCCAACCCCGCGTTGAGGTCCCTTCGACCATCACCGTGTGCCAACCCGCTGCCATCTCTTGGTGAGCATCGCTATGAGTTTGATTGCGGATGGGCAAGGGTGCTCCGCGCGCACGATGGGTCGTCATCGGGCGAGGGGCCGCCATCGACAAGCATATCCGGAGCGAAACGCATGTGACAATCACGCTGACTTGTCGTTCGCCTCGTCCTTCTGCCGTTCACAGGTCCGGCGCTTCGGGGAACGTCTTCCTCAGCGCCGTCATTGGCACCGACACATCCGTCACGAGCAGCGCTCAGCGTATGTCTTTCCCTCAGCAATCCGGCCCTTCCGGCAGCTACCCCTGGTGAGTTGTCCTCCATCTCCCTCGTCCTCAACGGGGTAGCATGGCATGCTTACGCCCGCTGTTGCAACACCTTGTGTCTTTCAGGACTGTCAACGTTCAGCCCGGCACTACCCTCACCTTCATCGTCAACGACTCTACGGGTGTTCAAAACTTCAGCTCTCAAATCCAGGTCGTTGGTCAAAACACTTGCAATGCCGGTGCTGACTTCTCTGGTGCCGCCGCCACTGGCTCGAGCTCTGGCTCCGGCTCCACCTCGTCCACCCGCAGCGGTTCTTCTGGTGCAGCGTGCGTCTAGTGTGGCGATTACTCGCAACCCTCGCAGGAACTTGCTGACATCGTTTGTTCCTCTTATCAAAAACACCAGTTCTCCTACTGGTAGCGGCAGCGGCACCAGCGGCAACGGTGCCAGCCGCTCCAACGTTGGCGCTCTTGCTCTCAGCGCTGGTGCTGCTCTCGTCGGCGGTGCCCTCGTGTTCGCCTAAGAAGGGACGTTGTTCCACCCTTGTCCCTGCTTATCACGGTGACGATGCGCAAACTCAAAACCGCCCATGCACGCGCTCTCTAGCTCTCAAGCCTGTTCCACTCCACTCGGCATGGCAGATGGGATTTGCCCGACTGTACACGCTCGCATCTTCAGCATGTCTTTCAGCATTACACGCTCGACCTTTCTCCAAACCCCTTCCGCACTACAACAGCTATATGCGCATTACGTCTTGGAGGCTAGTCGTTCACTGACGACTTTCTCTGCAATCCGACATCTTTCACTGCCCCTTGAATTGGCAGGGCAGCGATCAGCATGCCTGATTGTGTGTTCGCGTCTGAGGCGTCGTTGCGGACTTGAGCTCATCCAAAGCATGAAGGACACCTCTCTGGTGCAGGTACAGCTTGGCTATCACTTTGAGGGGTGTCGACATGTCTGATGGCATTATGACACCGCCTTAGACGAGCCTTGAGAGGTTCCTCGGCCTCCTGGTGATCAAAGAGAGCGTCATGTTGACGACACCCGCACTGACTGGTGAGCTACCTCTCACCGCAGCGCCGCTCTCATCCATCCATTCATCCATCCACCGACGCTCACAGTCTCATTCTCGAAAGCGAGTCTCGAGGCAAGCGTCGTGAGGTGAGATCACTCACACGGATTCACTGTGGCTCGCATGGCTTTTCGTGCCCACGGAACCAAGACTTCATCGACGCGTGGCTGCCAGGCTTGACATTTCGAGCAGACCGGACGGTGTGCGTCTAATTTCTACCATCGAGCGTCACGGTAAGGTTCTCCAAGCCAAGACATGAACCCTCGGCATTGGACTGGAGACGGAGGAATTGGGTGCAAGTGAAGATGCTTCACAGGGCAAGCAGTCGCGGGCTTGGTAAATTTGCGACAGCTTATGGCTCGATCGATCGGCGTTTAGGAAAGACGGAGCGATGCTGGGCGCACTTGCTCCAGCGAGGCCCTGCATGCATGAATCACGAAGCTTGACGACGACGTATACCCACGGCGCGGCAACGGCATCCATCCACGAATCCAGGCACAAACACATATCAAGAGGGAAGTGGACATCAAGGCATTCGTGCATTTCATGGTTGAAGCAGATCGAACCAGCACCTCCCCGAAGATGGGCACAGACAGACGGCTTTGAGTGGATACATATATGGGATCCATCATGGACGCTCAAGCAGGCGACGTGAGGCTGACGCCCATCGCTGACTGTGGTGCAAAAGGTAAGGTGAGAAGCATCAGCACGGAAATGCCACTCCGGTGATGCGTGGTGTGGTGCCGTGCCGTGCGGATGTCGGCGCTTGAAGAGCCGCAGCTGCATGGGTGCAATGGCATTCACGATTGAACTTCGGCAGGGTTGCAGTCTGATGAGGCTGTGGAGATCGGTTGGTCGGCGGCACGCGGTGCCTACAAGACATGCAGACAGAGATGGCCAGGCCAATAGCGCCAATGGTGCAAAGGCCGAGCAAACTTGTGAATTTGAATGTCGTGCGAGCTTGGTACAGCAATAAGTCACGAGTTGTAGTGGTGAGTTTGAGTATTCGTGATCGTGATCGTAAGTATCCGTACACGGCAAGCACAGCACTCGCGCGTGAGTAGAAGGCTGCTGCTGGGACGGCAATTGAACGCTCCTCATCGCGCTCGCGTGCATGCATCAGAAGCCCGGCCGGAAGTAAGCACATACACGATAACTCCGGACTGCAGCAGTGGCCATCAATTGAGCTTTTCCGCGGCTTTGGTACTGCACATGATGCTGTCCAGCAGCGGCGCAGCCTAGGATGTATATGCGATGACGATGGTCCGCGGTGCAGTACTGCGTAAGGGCCGTATACGGTATACATGCTGCTGCTGCCTGCTGCCCGTGTTCATGCGGTTTGAACCCGCACCGGCTACATGAGCGCTTCCGTGCCGCGCAGTGTTGAATTTCGGTCCCAGGCCGTATCTTGGCTGTGTTCGGAAGTGGGAGTTGCTGCTAACCTCTTTGCTCCGAGCGAGAGCAAGTATAGTGCTGCTGCTGTGATGGATGGTCGTGAGCTGGCCAAGCAAGTTCGGCTACGACGGCACGACGACTTGGCACCCACAAACGCAGCTTATGGATGCACACATCAGCACGTATTACGCGCGGACGATCGGTCGTGCGCGCGCAAAGCTGGATGTATGCTGCCGCCGCCGTCCTTGCGCCGGCCGTCTGTCGAGCTTAAGTGCGAGATCCACCTCGGTGTGACTTTCGCAGCCTCACGAGCTCCTACAGGTTGAACGCATGCATGCCCGCAATGATCAATCGACCGTAGGCTACACCGGATGCTCGTTTCATCTCAAAAGATCGGACATCTCATCCGAGTTCAGCAGAAACGCGTTGCACTCCCCATCGACTGACCGAAGGCAGTCCATTCACCTTCCCACTCACATCCTGCGCCATCCCAGAGACGTGCTGATCAATCTGGTGCTGTGAACGCAACGGCCGACGAACAAGCCTGCGTTTGGAGTCTCCGCGTCACGCATATATACCGCAATCTCAAACGTCTACGGTGTGCTGATCTGCCATCTTGCTCTTGAAGAATCCAAACTCGCCACATCTACTTTTGATCGCCATTCACCTACAAGTTAGCGACATTGGTCAACATTTCTTCTTTGCTCGACACTTGGCAAATAGTGGGACAATCTACCGCGGGCAACGTAGCTACGCACGCTTTCCCTTGGCCGCCACCTGTTGCCGTCCATCTGAAAGCAGGCCACAACGTCCAGTCAAGCTTGCAAATCCACGCCACTTGGAGCGGAGCTTATACCAGACTTCATTGGAGCACACATCCCATTGTTCTCGCCAGCAGCGCAGCACACTGCCCGTAGGCGCACCCGCCCACGTCATGCCGGTTGCTACTCTTATACCGTTGCGCATCGCGGTCACATCAGACAACAGTGAGTGAGATGCTCCTTGACGTGCCTGTACACCACCCTTGGGCGGCCTTTTGAGCTCATCAAGGTCTTGACTGCCTCTACACTGCGCGCATCCAGTCTGTCCATTTTGCTTCATTGGCCTCCGCAAGCTCCAGAAAGCTCTGGCTACTTCGCCTTACACTAGCGGTCCAGAGGCAGTCTTTGAGCCATCTATCCATTTCCTGCCTTATCAATTGGACCCAACTTTGCCTTCGGATCATGCGCTCGACAAGAGGGAGAGATACTTTAACAAGTTCGGTCCTAGGTTTGCTCAGATGGAGCAGATGATGCAGCAGAGGGGAAGGGAGGAAGGCATCGACTTGTGAGTCCAGGGCGCAACGTGCAGCGACGCCGAGAGCGTCCCTCGATGGACATGCGGCTGGTGCACAAAGACGCCAGTCGTGCACACATTGCCAGTGTGGCGTGTCCCCGCTGACCTACTCGATGCTTCATCATCAGCGACTACAACGGTCCTCTTCGCTCCACTTTCGACTCTCATCGTCTCATGGCGTACGCCTACGACAAGGGTGGCTGGGAGCAGCAGTACAAGTTCATCGAGGTGCTCTTCACGCACTACTTTGAAAAGCAAGGAGATCCCGGCTGCCGAGTGCAGCTGTCCGACTTGGCGGTCAAGTCCGAACTCTTTGCGTCCGAAACGTCTGCAAAGGAGTGGCTGGCTTCCTCAGCCTTGGCCGACGAGGTCAAGCTGGGTTTCGAAAGGGCTCGATCCAAAGGTATTACTGGTGTGCCCCACTTCGAATTGGCGGCGGGTGAACAGGATCATCTTAAGGCGACCGCTGAAGTTCCAGGCGCTCAGGAAGCTCAATGCTTCAGGGCAGTCATTGAGAGGATGGCAGAGAAAGCTGGAGCTGTCTCAAAGTGCCCTGGCGATGGTTGCAGGACCGTTTCTGGCGCAGAGGCAAGGCGCTGCCTCTAAATCTTACGCCGGCCAGCGCTTGCCCTGCTCTTTACGAACGACGCGTGATTCACTTTGGCCTTCCTTCTGCTCTCTTCAAGATACCACCTTTGATCGATCCTGTAACGCTCATTTTCGTGATTGGGTGAAGCGGCGCAATCGAGCAGATTTCGCTCCTCCTCTCTGGCACACGCTTTATCCAATGTAATACATACCTGTTCAAATCACCTATCGTTTCACATTCCCACAAAGCACTCGCACCTTTGGCATGCCTACCGCACTACAAGTTTGGACAAGCGCATAAGTGAACATGAGCAGCTCCTTCGTTGGGCGGGGAGCGCCAGCAGCAAGTACAGCAGATGGCAGCATGGAAGAGGCGACGGCGCGCGAGAAGGGCGACTCGCTCAGACGCTACAAGCGCGACTCCTCGCCTGCCTTGATGACCGACTGCTCCGTAATGTCGTCGACGGAGCGATGACCGGCAAGAGCAGCTGTAAGTTCAAAGTCTGCCAAGATGGATTTGAGTACGCTAGACACGCCGTCTTGTCCATCGACTGCGAGACCCCAAGCGTACGGCCGACCGATTCCTACCGCATGGGCGCCGAGCGCTTGCAGACGCAAAGGCAGAAAATTCGGACGTGAGAAACGGGAGGAGAGTGGCGGTGCAGGTGGTCGGTGTTTGAACCAGAGATCCATCACAGCTGGGGTCAGCAGTCCGCACCGTGATTTGATTTCATGCGACGCGCGTCGATGCTTGCCGATCTGGACTGGCGACTCACCTAGTGCTTTGATCACGTCGGAGCCGTTGCGGACCCCAGAATCGAAGATGACCGTCTTTGCGTGTCTGCGGAGATACTGCGCGATCGGTTTTAACGCTTGCAACGATCCGATGGCTCCGTCCACTTGTCTACCTGAAGGGCGCACGAGCCGTGGGACAGACGATCAGTCTCTTGAGCAGTCTTTCCTGGGGTTGCTCAGCTTACCTCCGTGATTGGATACCCAGACGCCATCCATGCCCGCTTCGACGGCACGCTCTGCATCTCCAACGGTCTGGATGCCTTTCAAGACGATCGGATCGTCACCCCAGATTTCGCGAAGCAAGGCCAAGTCCGACCAGCTGCGGCTGATGCCGGGCGTCAGGAGACCAATGGCTGCAATCGATGCCTGCGTCACATCATCTTCTGTCCGATCTTTGCGCAAAGGCGACTTTACCGGGAATCCGCAGCGTGGGCATTTAGCCAGTCGCATGAGGACTCTAGTTCGGTACCCAAGAAATAATCAACGCACCTTGCCCTCGCAGAACTTGGAGACGCAGCGAGACAAGCGTAGGCGGTGAGCGGTACGTCAGACAGCCGCTCAAGGCTCACATATCCGACTGACCTTCTCAACAAAGACTGGATCCGAGAAGCAATTGGCCACACCTTCGCCTTTCAAGAATGGATTGTAGGCCTCGTCGAGATCTCTCGGCCTCCATCCCAAAGACCAAGTGTCAAGCGTGACCACTAGGACCTTGTATCCCGCCTTTTTGGCGCGTGTCAGCAGACTCTTCGTGACGTCGTCGTCATTGGGCCTGGCACGCAGTCGTTGCATGGCAGCAAAGTCATCGCATCGTCAGGACTCAGAGGTCTGTATAGTCACGCTGCGACCATCTCACCACGTCGCAGGCTCACCAGTACAGCTGAAACCATGCTTCTTGCCCTTCCTCACTCTCCTCGCCATAATCTGCCCCTTCGCTGACCTTTTCGATGGGGGTGCTGGTAGCGCTGCTCAGTGTAAAAGGGACGCCAAGCTCCTTGGACGCCGAAGCGGTGGCTACGTCGCTATCGGTATGCAGCTGCCCCTGCACCCCGATGGGTGAGATGACGAGGGGTGTTGGGAACTTCTTACCAAAGAGAGTGACTTGAGACGAGAATTCGTTGATATCGACGCCAGCAAGCATGCGTGGCACTGGAACGAACGCAGGTGGTCGTGCACGTCAAGGGGGAGAATGTTGGGACGTGAGCGAGGGGCTTGGTAGAGAGCCATCGACGTAAAGGTACAACGACGACGCACCGATCTGATACGAATCCAGCGCTCGCCTATTGGACTTTTCCGTCTTTTCATATCCGGCGCTCCCGGCCACATAAGCATAAGCTCGCGGGTCCAACTTTTCCTTGGCCTGCTCCCTCAGCTTTTCGTAATCCGTCGTCAGTGGCTTGGTCCCAGACATGAGACCTCCGACGTAAATCTCCCTCATCCATGATGACTGAGGTGACGCAGTGAGAGGAGAAGAGGAAGGAGGAGGTGACTCTCGTCAATGTCTGGCATGAAGCGCCTGCCCGCATCGCTCGACGCTCACCTTTGGGTTGGACATTGTGCGGGGGAGTGTGAGCTCAGCGCTTTGCGGTGTCGGTCTGTGTTGGGCGAACAGAGGTATGACGAGCGAGGAAAAAAGGCGCTCGGACGAGTTAGAATTCCATTTTGCTCCGTCCGGAAGGGTCTGTGTGATGGTGGCATCAGCCAAAGCCGCTTCCGCTGTCCTCTTCGATCATCTTGGTTAATTGCTGTGCTGCGTGCGGGGTACATGATGCAGTCTTTAATGAGGTCACGTGTCCCAAGCTCTGCACACACTAACCGGGGGTGTGTTGCTGCTGCGCAGAAGAAAGATGCGCGCCCGAATTTTGAGTTCACGTGATGCTGCCCAGACCCGCGCAGCACAGCCTCGCGGGAAGTCGGACGAGTCACAAGGCACTTGCGCCTCATCCACTTGATTTTCGATCTTGAGACCCAATCTTCACACCAACGTTTAGAAGCTCCTTCTTTCCAGGTGTAGCCTGAAGAGTGCAGCGACCGACTGTGCTTTCAGTATCACGAATCCGTCACTGATCGCTTTCAAGCCTGCTCCCTCACTCGTAGATTGCTCGTAGCAGCAGAGGGTGGAAAGGCGTTGAAGCCTGATAAGGAACAAGCACACATTCAGACAACGATTTCAACGTCATAGCAGCGAAACTAGGCAGGCGTGCTGAAGCGCCGAGGAAACAAGTTGAAGAACAGAGCAAGGCAGTAGTATCTGCGCAAAAGACAAATTGCAGCAATCCAGACCAACTCGTTGGAGCTTGAACACTTGTCTGGCCCCACCCGTGCCAGCCATGTCCGAACAAAGTCCCTCGGATGGCACCCATCCATGGAGGCCCGTCTGCTCCATCCTGGATACGGACTTGTACAAGCTGACCATGCAGCAGGCCGTGGCTCACCACTATCCGAGCAAGAGAGTGGCTTGTGAGTGCGTTGTATGCGCTCTCTTGCCAGCTATCAGTATTGCGACTGATGCCCTCTTTTCCCTCCCTTCCAGATCGATTCACCAATCGATCCGCCGCAATGAAATTTACCCGCAAAAGCGTGGCCGTTATTCAGCGCTGCATCGACGGTGAGTTGAAGCTGCGTGCGCGGCAAGACTTTGAGCACGCGTGCTTCGCTAAAGAGCTCCCGCATCGCAGATCTTGCTGGCCTGTCGCTGGATACTGAAGAGGAGGAATGGCTGAAAAGGCGATGCCCCTACCTCAAGCCAGATTACATCGAGTCGCTCGCTGCTTTCCGCTTCAAGCCCAAAGACCAAGTGACGCTAACATTCGTTCCCGAACCATCTGGAGATGCAAAGCAAGAAGAGCAGGCGGAAGAGCTGGGCCAGATCGAGATGGACATTCGTGGGCTTTGGAAAGACGTCATTCTCTACGAAGTTCCGCTCATGGCCATCGTCAGCGAAGTCTACTTCTCCACCGTGGACAAAATGTGGAGCATGCGCGGTCAAAGATTCCTTGCCAAGTCCAAAGCTGAACAGCTAGTCTCGGCAGGCATTCGATACTCCGAATTCGGCACGCGAAGAAGAAGGTCTTATCTGGCTCACAAGGTTGCGCTGCAAGGCCTGATGGAGGGCTCACGGGCAGGTCCGGGCGCTCTGCTCGGCACCTCCAACGTGCATTTTGCTCAGCTGTACGACCTTAATCCGATCGGAACGGTCGCTCATGAATGGATGATGGCCGTCGCTGCTCTGCACGGCTATGAGCATGCCAATCTTCGAGCCATGCAGCTCTGGGATGAGGTGTACAGTGCACCGCATTTTACTCCTGCTAATCCTTCCCAAGACCTCACGATAGCGCTCACGGGTGGGTGGTCTCGCTCTTCCGCTCCACCATGCTCGTCTGACCCTCTGCAGCCACTTGCGACCCTGTTTACAGACACCTTTAGCACTCGAGTCTTTTTCAGCGACTTACTTTCCAACGAAAAAGGACAAGAAATCGCCCGTCGTTGGAGAGGTTTACGACAGGACTCTGGAGATCCTGCGCAATTCGTCAAGCGTACGAAGGAGGTGTATGATCAACTCGGAGTGGACAGCACCAAAAAGGTCGTCATCTTTTCGGACGGACTTGATGTGGCGCGCTGCTTGGAGTTGGCCAAGACGGCCCAAGACCACGGCGTAGGGTGCGGCTTTGGTGAGTGTCCGCGAGAACGGGGAAGAGATGCTGTGAGTCACCTTGCTCACTCCCACTCGAAACCCATTTAGGCATCGGAACAAGCATAACGAACGACTTTGCGTGTTTGGAAGATCAAGAAGACCCGGAAGCGGATGATTATGACGCAGCCCCCGCCTCCTCTGAGCACTCTCTTGCGCGATCAAAAGCTCTCAACATGGTCATCAAGCTGCGTGAAATCGAAGGCAAACCTTGCGTCAAGATTTCGGACGACCTCACCAAGAACACCGGAGATCCTGCAGAGGTTGCAGCGGTCAAGAGGAGATTCCACTTGGATGTGGTCCAGGACGCTATCGAAGACGCATAGACGGGAGAATCTGCGGGTTGTGCGCACTACCTGCTTCACTTCTTTCACCTAGCCTTTCAGGCATCACGCCCCTTGAAAGCTCATGCGCGCTGAACCTCTCAGCCAAACAGTCAGAATGCAGCGGGATGCGATTGGTGGAACGTCCTGCGATTACAAGTGATGCGCGGCCATCGCGGCACAAAATCGTCGGTGTGGCGATGGGTCCGGGTCTGCACAATCGAAAGCATCATGAACTGGTCTTGAGGTTACGGTGAGGTTGAGGGTCGACCTCCACAACCCTCTCCAGCAGCTTGTCAACGACACCCGAGCGATTCTTCAGACAGCGTGATAGAGCAGGAGCGCACATCAGTTGTGATGAGCCAAGGGAAACGGGGAGAAACACGCCCGCATGCGAGCTCACCTTCTTGAAAGCCTCCTCGAGCTGCTTCAGCTGGTCTGCGGTGGCTGCGTCTACCTTGGCTTGGTTCGAGCCGGAAGAGCCTTCGTGCTACAGAGGGTAGGGCAGGACGAGAGTGTAGGCATTAAGAGGTGTCAGCATTGGAATGTCGCCCTGCCAGCCAGTAGAACGACCTAGAGCAACCTGGGCTGCTGATAGCCTTTCGAATCGGCCGAGTTGCTCGCTTCATTGCTCACCTCCTTCTGAGTCTTTTTAAATTCTGCTTCCTTGGTAGCTTTGAGCTCCTCAATCTCCTTGGCAGCCTCACTACGAGCATCCTTGATTTTTTGTGTGCGATCTGAAGGGATGATGCCGAGTCCCATTTCAGCAGAGCGATGATGTGCCGCAAATAAGATCAGAGCTCCGATGGCAGAACCACATCCTGTCGATTGAGGACAGCTACACAACGCCGCTCCTCTTGACGCATCCCTGACTAGTATATGCGCATACCATTGGTGCTCTCTCCATCAAGTGGGGCTGCCCACCAGCTACTCACAAGTCCGCGCCTTTGCAACGATCTTGGCAGCCTCCTTTTCCGCCTCCAAAAGCGTCTGAATGCCTTGAGACTGCTGAGCGGACTGATGTGGAAGAACAAAAGGTGATGCAAAGGTGAATCAGCAGACTATGCGACATCGAAGCCGTGGTATGATGGCAATTTTGGCCCGAAGACATGGTCCGACTGGGCACCAGGATACTCACCATCTTGTGCAAGGTCAAAGTCGATGCGGGCGACGTTATCAATGCAAAGTGAAAAGAGGTGTGCTTCCACTCGACAGCGGGCGCAGCGCGTCAGGAAGGCGCGTAGTTGGTGAATCTGTGGTCACGTTGGAGGTGCTCAGGAGCAGATGATGGTTCAAGATTGCATCGCGAGGAGTCGTGAGTGGCTATACAAACTGCCTCGCATTCAGCGTCACCACTGAGCGAGCGCCCGTGCGGTGCGGCCAGGGGCAAGGTCGCGCCTGAGGTTCGGCTCACGTGACATCCTACTTGGCTCGACTTGCTGCCTATTTGAGAGAAGAAAGTTAGCTTGCGTGACTTAGAACAGCCTGGATCACTGAGTATCGCCAAAGTCAATCAGTGGATCAAGAATCAGCAAGTCAAAAATGCAAATGGTTCCATTTCCACATCATCATCATCGTAGAATGTCGGGATCTGCACAAACACTCCTCGGGATCTAAGGGCCTTCCATGGCCATGTGGAGCACGATGCTATCAGCCAGGGACGGGGCGGTCCGATGCTGCTGTGCAGCATCTCACAGCATTCGCCCAACCGAACAATCAAGGGTGGCGCTAAGACGAATAGCAAGGCTGCACACGACTCCGTTCGCGCAAACAGAAGCACCTGTGCCTCCTCCTGCTCATCATCGGACGCCAGCGGGGCAAGCTTTCGGCGGTGGATCATCGAACGAGAAGCTTTACAGCGGTACGTTGCAGCTGCCTAAGACGGCCTTTCCTATGGCCGCGTCGCCCGAGAAGAGAGAGAAGCTTTTTCGCAGAAGGACGACATATGAGCTATATGCTTGGCAGGTGCGTAGTATAGGAGTACGTAGTGCTGGCTCCCTGTAGCCGCGTGCTCATCCCTGGCTTCCTGTTCTGCCAGCGCGAGAACAATACAGGGCCTTCTTTCGTGTTGCATGACGGGCCTCCGTATGCCAACGGACCCTTGCATATAGGTGGGGAAAGATGATTTGGCAGTGCACCGAAGGCTTCTGACTTGAGAGACGATTCCCGAAATGCCCAGGTCACGCGTTGAATAAGATACTCAAGGATGTCATCATCAGATACCACATGCTGCAAGGCCGCCGCGTGCAGTGAGCCATGATGGCGACACTCTACTGGACAGCGAAGAACGACTGACCATTTCTCCTCGTCCTTGTGCAGCTTTGCTCCAGGTTGGGACTGTCATGGTCTGCCTATTGAGCTCAAAGCTCTGGGAACGCTGAGCAGCGAAGGCGCTCCTCCGGCTCAAGATCCGTTGGCTCTCCGAGCAGAGGCGCGACGCATCGCGGGAACAGAGATAGATGGTCAGCGATTAGGGTTCCGGTCATTTGCACTGATGGCCAATTGGGCGGAGCAGAGCACCTATAGGACGTTCGGTGAGTATCAGGCAGCGCTTTTGGGCTTCAGATTCTTGTATTGACTGTCTCGAAGCACAATCCGCGGAACAGATCTCGCTTACGAACTCAAGCAGCTGCAGATATTCAGGGAGATGGTGCACAAAGGTGAGCTGCCCTTCTTGCACACTCTGCCCCCTGGGGTGTCTCACTGACCATCCAATGGCGCGTACTAGGACTCATCTACCGTGCATACAAGCCCGTCTACTGGTCGCCCGCCTCCCGATCGGCACTTGCCGAAGCCGAGCTGGAATACCATGAAGACTTCATGTCGCATACCGTGTTTGTCCGCTATCCCATGCAGATTGGACCTCAATTGCGGCAGGCGATGATGAAAGAGTCAGGATCTGCAGCTCTGGCCCGTGCTCGCCAGCCAATCAACGCCTTGATCTGGACGACGACTCCTTGGACGCTTCCCTCCAATAAAGTAGGTCGCGCGGTTTTCATCTTTGCCGCCAGGTTTTATCTTACCTGCATCCTTCTCCCAGGCAGTCGCAGTCAATCCAGAGCTCGATTACAGCTTGGTGCGAGTGCAGGAAGGCCCGATGCAGGGCGACACATTTTTCATTGGGACAGATAGGATTGGCTTCTTGTCAAAGTTGAAGCTTCCAGGCTCCGACGCAGGTGGGAACAGGTACCGCGTTGGGCCTATGGAAGAGCTTGTCGTCGTGAAAGGTGAGTCATCATGTAACATGCTAATTGCATTGCCATACGGGCTCGAAACTTGACGTCGGTGCTACTACTCCAACATACCCACAGGCGCTCAGCTTTTAGATTCTACATACCGTCATTGCTTTTTGCCGGACGATGCTGAGCCCCGTCCGATTCTGCCAGCAAGCTACGTCACGGCGTCCAGTGGAACTGGGCTTGTACACACTGCCCCAGCCCATGGCGCAGAAGATTACGAGCTGTGGCGAGAGCACGGAGCGCTTAGACGTGAACAGCTGTTCTCGCCCATCGATGATGAAGGTCGCTACACAGAACAGCTCAGGGAGCTGTCCGGTGGTGCAGAAAACCTCGTCGGCTACCTGGCAGGACACCGTGGTGACGCGCTGGTGATCAAGTTGCTCGAAGCGAATGACGCTTTGTTCATGAGTTGGCATCTCAAGCACTCTGTCCCGATTGACTGGCGTTTGAAGCAGCCTGTAATGGTCCGGTGCGTTGCGTCGAGTCGCACCGCGTTCGAGCGATGCATAGCTGATTACACTCTCTCCTGACATCCAGTGCGACATCACAATGGTTTGCGGATGTAGGCAAAATCAAGAACCATGCACTGCAAGCGCTTGAGAAGGTCAACTTTTTCCCTGCCAGTGGAAAAGCCCGCTTACAGTCGTTGGTGTCTGGCAGGGCGGAATGGTGCATTTCTCGACAAAGGGCCTGGGGTGTGCCCATCCCAGTCTTGTACGACGCAGACACGGATGAAGCCCTGATAACGCCCGAGAACGTCGATCACATTATCGCCGTGCTTGCTGAAAAGGGCACGGACTATTGGTGGGAGGGTGCTGCGGACGAATTTGTCGCGCCTCAATACCGCGACGATTTCAAAGCTTGGCGAAAGGGAACGGATACGATCGACGTTTGGTTTGACAGCGGCAGCAGCTGGGCAAACCTGGCTGAGCAGGTCGGCGCCGAGAGAGAAGGCCAGTCACTTGCAGACGTGTATTTCGAGGGGACTGATCAGCACAGGGGATGGTTCCAATCCTCGCTCTTGACCAGAATCGCAATGCAAGACACGAGTTCGCAAGCCGCCGATCCAGTCCTCGCGCCGTACGCGAACGTGGTCACGCACGGCTTTGTGACGGATAGGAGAGGGTGGAAAATGAGCAAGAGCCTCAAGAACGTGCTTGGACCCGAATTCTTCATCGATGGTGGTCATAAAAGAAACGATCCAGCATATGGCGCCGATCCTCTTCGATTCTGGGCCGCTTCAGCCGACTATACAAGATCTGTACCCATCGGCACTTTGATCATCAAGCACGCCGATCTAGCTCTCCGAAAGATTCGCAACACGGCTAGATTCATGTTGGCCAATATCTCGACGGCGGAGATTCCGAGGCTTCAGGACGTGGAGTTGAGTTTGGTGAGTTGCTGCGCTCCGAGGCCGAACGCGCAGGAGTAGCTGACCGCTTTATGCCGACCATGGCCGCAGTTGAATCGATACATGCTGCACGAGATGTATGTGCTTGACCGCGATGTCAAAGCAGCCTACGAGACTTTTGACTTTGCCTCTGGTGAGTGCCGACCGATGTGAGATTTTAACACCCGCTTTGCTCACCCATTAACTCCAACTTGCACCTACATAGTCGTGCGAAAGATCACGCATACGGCCAACAATTTGTTGAGTGCATTTTATCTCGACATTGCCAAGGATATCCTCTACGCAGATCGTGCGAATAGCGAGCAACGCAAGGCCGTTTTGGCAGTGACAGACCAGGTGAGACAACAAAAGCGAGCGTGTTGAATTCAGGGGTTGCGCTGAGCTGTTGCATCGACGCTGTGCAGATTCTGCGGCTCTACACCTCCGTGCTGGCTCCAATAACCCCTCATCTTGCAGAGGAGATTCATCACTTCAGAGCCAACCGGCCCGCCGATCCGCAGCCCAAAGAGGCGGGAGCAGTCTCCTTCTTCCACAGCCGCTGGCAAGGGGTGGTGAGTGCTCCCGTCGGCTCTCTCGCCTTCGCTTCCTGTACGCTGACTCGAGAGCGTTTGACTGCTTGCAGGATGAACGGTGGCGCGACGAGGACGCAGCTGCACAAATGCACCCGATGCTGGAGCTCAAGAACGGAATTTTTGCTGCTCTTGAGATCGGTCGTAAAGATGGGTAAGTGCCGCGCTGACTCATCATGCAAGCTCGGCCTCACCTGGACTGCCTACATCCCTTCCAGCCTTCTCAAGGCGGCCCTCGAGACTGACGTTGTCATCGACCTAGACGCTTCCACAAATGAGGCATTGAAAGGCATTCTCGAGCGCAACGGTATGTGGTAGCCGCACACAAGCAGCTCTTGGCAACTTCTGATACTTCGTCTCCTTGCCAACGATGTCGCAAAGGCGAGGAATTGTCGACCATTTTTCTGGTTTCGCACGTACACCTATCGAAGGATAAGGTGGCGCGGACACCGAGTACAGCAGGAGCTTACTCAATTCCCGCTGTGCATAGCGGCATAGCATTTGAAATTCGCCCCTCAATAGGCCACAAGTGCGCGAGATGTAGGACGTACAGAAAGGCAGTGGTGGAAGACAGGCTATGCGGTCGTTGTGAGGACGCCGTTCAGATCTACGAAGCTGCCAATGGTCCAATTGAAATCACCTCACCTTAATGATATATGTCACGCCGCAAGACCTCAACGCTGACTCATCTGCGCAACTATAGCGACCATAGCACAGGCCGGCACACCGACGCAAGTACCTCATCGATTGACAAATTGTCCTATGGACCAGGCTTCATGAATCTTATGGGTGTATTCATGACGCAGCTTAGTAGCCGTATCCGCGGCGAGTAGTATTGCCGAGTCCGCTTGAATCCCCTCTGTATCCGGGTGCAGCGCTGCCAGCTCTCGAGCCAGCAAAAGCTGGCGAAGCGTACCTACTCCCGGCAGCGACCGACGACGCGCCTCTCGCCGCCGACTCTCCAACCCTGCCCCTTCTGAGATCCTCCACCTTTTCTTTGAGACCCGTAGCGCTCTCATCGATCCACCTGAGGCTGCTCAAGTGTGCGTTGAGGATGGCCACAATTTGAGAAATGGGATCCGTCTCTTGCGTACCGGCTGCGTGCGACCTTCCCCCGGTCCTCAGCGCGCCCAGTGAAGAAGGCGAAGGCTCGGACGAAGATGCTTGACGAGCGACTATCGAGGTGTTGTGGCCCGATAATGCATTCACTTCAGTGATCATGGAAGAGAGATTTTGAGATAGATCATCAAGCTGAGAGTTGAGCGACTCTGCCAGGGTGTAGCTATGGAACGAGGACTGGAGATCAGCGCCTTTACAGACACGCATGCGCAGGACGTCGTTGAACTCACGCTCTTTCGCGCTCGGCATCCGCAGCTCCCATTTCCATGGTCCTCATGTTGGAGGGACCACCAAGACCATAAGAGATGGTTCCGCTCTGGCCCTCTGACAAATGCGCAAGCTGAGTCTCGAAAGCCTCTAGCAGCGCCTCCAAGTCCGTCTGACGCTGCTCTACTTGGTCCAACGTCTGATTGATGCCTGACTGGCGATCTTCCGCACTCTGTAATGCCGACATTAGCGTGCCGATCTGAAGGAGCATGGAGGCGTGTGAATGAAGATGCGAAGCGTGCCTACGTGACGCCGAAACTCACCTGCCCTCCGCTGTTTCTCAGCTGCTCGTCCCACATGCCGACTTCTTCAGCCTGTCTTGCAAACTCTCTCGTGCTCTGATCCAGCTCGCTAGTCCACTTGTTGACGATCTCCTCCATGGTCTTGCCCTTGAGCAGCGAAGGTGGGGGTGCAGGAGCTGCTGGTTTGGCCGGTGCTGCCGCCGACGCCGCAGGAGCAGCGGTGGACGATGCAGGCGCTGCTGTAGATGGTTGCGCTGGCGCAGCACTGGTGCCTGGGGCAGAAGCTGAGGGCTGTGCCGATTTGGCACCAAAGAGGCTGCCTGTGGGGGCAGCCTCTACAGCAGATGAGGCAGTTTTGGCACCAAACAGATTGCCAGTGGGGTTAGCCGTGGTGGCTGAGGTAACAGGCTTGTCAACTTCCGAAGCTTTCGGTGCATGCGTCTTTTCGGCAGGCTTTTGGCCGAACAGGCCACCAAGAGGTTGAGATGGTGCAGCGGTAGCGGGTGTTGCCGCTCCACTGTCAGGTGCGCTCGCCGAAGCTGATGCGGCAGGAGCTGCTCCAAACGAGAACGTTCCGGTAGGCTTGGGCGCATTTGCTGGTGTAGTTCCCGTCGAAGCTGCCGCAGAACTGGAAGCAGGAGTAGTAGAAGCACCTGTCGAAGCTGCGGGCTTTCCGAAAGCACCGCCAAAGCCTGAGAAACCTGGTGCAGCTGTGGTAGGCGCGCTCTGAGGTTTAGAAGCCTCAGGTGCAGCACCATCGGTAGGTTTGTTGGCCTCTGCTGGTTTGTCCGGTTGTTTGCCAAACAGACCAAAGCCTGTGGACGCGGCTGGCCCTGCAGACGGGGGTTGGTTGGTCGGTGCACCGAAAGAGAAGCCACCTGCTTTCGGAGCTGTGGTGGACGACGCAGATGCGCCTCCTGCCGCGGCTGCGCCTCCGAAAGAGAATCCTCCAGCTGGAGGAGCTGAAGGGGTGCTAGTACCTGAAGCTGGCTTGGCACCAAATAGAGGGGTACCAGAAGTCGGGGTCGCGCCTGCTTTCGGAGCTGTGGTGGACGATGCAGGTGCGCCTCCGAACGAAAATCCTCCAGCTGGAGTAGCTGAAGGGGTGCTAGCACCTGAAGCTGGCTTGGAACCAAATAGCGGGGTACCAGAAGCCGGGGTCGCGCCTTGAGACTGCGAAGCTCCTACGCCATTACTAGGCGTTGTTGACTGACCGAAGCTGAACGGTTTTACAGCGGCAGGCGCAGTGGTGCCAGTCGCTTGACCTTGCGCAGAAGTTGCAGGTGCGTTCGCGTTCGCCGTTCCAAAGCCTGAGAAGGTGCCGGTAGCGGAAGCAGACGCTGCGGGTTTGTTGGCAGCTGGTGCAGCTCCAAAGATTCCTCCTGTTGCCGGCGCTTTGGAAGCAGCACCGCCGCCGCCGAAGATGTTGGTCGGTGGAGCGGCGGCTGGAGTTGTGGAAGGATTGGCCGAGGTGGAGCCTGATGGTGCACTTCCAAAGCTGAATCCACCTCCAGTACTCGCAGCTGGGGTGGAGGGAGCTGGCTTGGATGCACCGCCAAAAATGCTGCCAGTGCTGCCAGTGTTGCCGCCAAAGCTGAAGGAAGTTGCTGGAGCCTGGGTGGTAGCAGACGAGGTCGTGTTGCCAGCACCTCCGAAGCTGAATGTAGGTGTGGAGGCGCCAGCATTCCCGAACGAGAAGCCTCCTTGTTTGGGAGGATTGGAGCCGGAGCCACCACCCCCAAAGTTAAAGCCCGCTGTCGAGCGGGAGAGAGCGTTGAGCGGTAGTGAGTAGGCGGGCTATCTTGAACATCGTGGACGCCCAAACCACTCACACATTGTATCAAGTCAATGGGTTCTTCGAGCTTGTCGAGGTACGAGACGCGAACGTCCTTCTGTGCCTCTGTCGATCACTAGTGGACTGATGGTAAGGTCAAGAGTGTCGGTTCGGACCTCTCAGATTGCGAAGTTCTCACAACTTTTGACCGACGATCGCGTTGCGCGCGCGGCTCGACAAGTGAACCGAGGGATCACGTGCGCGCGCATGCACGTACCTGCTCAGCCACACACACTCACACTGGGTGATGAGCGTGTGCTTGCAGCTCCGTCGAGACCACCTTCATGATTACGACGTACAGTCGGATGACCACCATCACCACATCATCTCTGCACACGCAACACAACGCAGGGCCCAGAAGATCCGCGCTCTTGCGTCCTACACCCGACATCAATAGTGCCTAGACGATGTTCAAGTCAACCAACGCGTACGACGACTTGGTTCAGCGGGCCACCTCCGAGAACCTGACTTCAGAGAACTGGGATCTAAACCTGACGGTGTGCGAAAAGGTGTCCAAGGCAGGATCTCAAGGCGCAAGAGATGTCGTTGCCTCCCTCTCTAGGCGCATTCAGCACAAGTCGGCCAACGTACAGCTCTTTTCACTCACCCTCTGCGATTCTCTGTGCAAGAATGTGGGAGCGGATGCCAAGAGGGAATTGGCTGGCAAGGGCTTCTTGGATCAGATCAAGAGGTTGCTGAAGGATGCGACCGCTCACATGGTCGTCAAGCAAAAAACTTGGAGGCTGCTCAACGAGTGGAACACAGAGTGGGGCAATCGCGAGGAAGGTGGTCTGCTATCGGAAACGCTTCAAAGTTTGAGAGGTCAAGGTGAGCGACTTGTTCCACAGTACCGCTTGCCGCGAAGGTCCGAGTCTCTTTGAGTCGCTGCTCATTTTCGCGTGCGTGCGCACCGCATCCTCGCTCCTCGCAGGCATTTCATTTGACGTTCAACAGCCTGCTGCCCCTCCAAAGCCGGTCAGTGCTCTATGCAGCTGCTGAGGGTTCTGCCTTCTTCTCACCATTACTGTACCCTGACCACGCCGACAGTCTCCTGCGCAGCTCTCGCGAGAAGATGAGGAGCTGCAACGCGTTCTGGAATTGTCAAAGCTCGATGTAGGGGGTCGCTCATCCTACACTCCTTCCGCGGCCGACAGCAGCGGCTATGTTCCCAACACCACCTCGACGTCGAGCAGCACAGCTTTTAGCTCCGCGCCTTCCGCCCCCTCGCAGCCGTCTGTCGTTGAGACGCCAACTGTACAGGCTGCTCCCGCAAAGGTGCGTGCACTGTACGATTTCGCACCTACGGAGCACAACGAGCTGGCATTCTACAAAGGCGACGTCATCAGAGTTCTCGACTCTCTGTACGAACACTGGTGGCGCGGCGAGCTACGAGGTCAAGCGGGAATCTTTCCCGTCAATTACGTCGTGAGTACAACGGTGCGAAAGCAAACGCAAGGCGTCGGTGTGGCTGATCCCCTCGAAATCTACCGCGCGTCAGGAACCGCTTCCGGACAAGACGCCAGTCGAATTGCAAAAGGAAGCAGAAGCCGAGGCTGCCGTGTTTGCAGAGGCGGCCAACATCGACAAGCTCGTTAACAAATTGCGCAGCTTTGATCCCGCTCGTCAAAGCTTGGCGGAAGATGATGAGCTTCAGGTGAGGGCGCGGTGCGTTGCGTGAGGATCAAGGGACGCGTGCTGATCACTGAGTCGGTCTGGCGCGCCACTCATCAGGATTTGTACCAACAGTGCATTTCGCTTCGGCCAAAAATCGTTCGATTGATGGAGCAGTACAATCACAAGGTGACGGATTTGAGAAACCTCAACGATAGCTACATTCACGCCAGGGGAGTCTTCGACTCTGCCATCGCAGGTTCCCAAGCTCAACCTCACTTTGGCGCGCCGCATCAAGCACCAACGCCAACGTTGCAAAGGGCAGATTCCTTCGCATCGACCGCGCATTCTGATGGTCGCGCGCCATCAGCTCAGCCTTTCTCACCCTATGCGCCGCAGCAGGCAGCTCCATGGGCACCTGGTTGGCACCAGCAACAGCAGTATCCGCAACAGCCTGCTAGCAGCGCTCAGTATCAAGCGCCACCGCCGCCGCATCAGCAACAGGCACAGCAACAGCATCAGCCCCAAGGTCAAATGTATCCCAACCCAAATGATCCAGGCTACGCTGCTTGGTACTACTCCCAGCCGCAATTCCAACAAGGTGCTCCCACACACGCTCAGCAGTGATCCTGGAGGCCCTCGTGAGCTAGGCCAAAACGCTGAGAAGGTGCACACAGCAGAAGGAGCATTCCGGCAACACAATTCTCATCAGACATGGTGATTGGGCGAGAAAGAGCGTCGTCTGTGCGCGATCACGGGTCACCTTACGATTTCTGCAGAGCACCGTCTTATGCAGACGGTGTACCGCGGACAGTCTCAATGGACGGATTGTCGAGAGCATAGTCCACGTCACCAGCGAACACATCGTCGACTTGGAAGGCCAGCGATGCCTTTGCGCCGGTCTTGTCGACTGCCCAGGCCGCAACCGCTATCTCGTTCTTTCCGCGCGGGTCGAGAATTCCAGGAGGGATTGGGAAGACGGTCTGAGGTCCCCACCTTGTCAGTCTTTGACCGAATTGCCAACCGTTGACGAAGAGGAGAAATCTGGACGTGGGGCGAGAGTCTGGGGAGTCTGTTCCCCCGTCGTCAGAAAAGACGAGCGAGAGGGGAAGATCGTGGCCTGTCGGCACGTCCAGATCGACGCTTGTGCGGAAGAATTTGACGCCCGGGGCTTCGAGACCTGCGCTGAGCTCGTGCGCCTCCCACTTGCTGTCGTCGAATCCGGGGAGATGCCAGCCTTGTCTCTCGCTGAGAGCGCGCATCAGCGTCAGCTGGCGATCCTTCTCTACCCGTGCTCTCACATGCCCCACTCACCCGTACAGTCCACCTTCATTCAATGGTCCGCGCGTCTTGTCGGGGTAACGCTCTCCACCGAAATTACCAGCAATGCTCCACTCCACTCGAGGCTGCGCATCGTTCTGAGCTCCGGTCCATGCAAAGTTTGTGATGCCGCGAGGCTTCTTTGCCACTTCCCGAGGGAGCGCATTCGGCACAATAGTATTGTCGCTTGATGCCTCTTCCAAGCCTGTCGAGTCGTGCAGGACCGTCAGAATGCTCCTGCCAGCCGGGAGAGCGTCGAATTTCTTTCAGGGCAACACGAGAGACAAATTGTCAGCTGAGTGAGGGTGATGGTGCGTCAACTTGGCGCTCACAAAGGTGGCGTTGGCGACATCCGCCGAAGAGCTTCCTTCCAAAGACCCCAGGAATGTCTGATTGAGCCAGATCGAGGCGGCAAAGAACTTTGGGGCGGAGACGGTACGTGTCAGCACATGACGAACTGCACCTGCAAATATTCAAACTCCTCACCTTGCCTCCTTGGACGCTCAATTGCAGTCCGGTCGGTCGGCTTTGGCCTACCTCGACGCTTCCGCGCCAGATCACGTTGCCGACATGGAAGCCGTACGCATCTGCCTGTGATGGCGCAAGTATGGTGTGGCGCGTGGAAACTCATCTAAGAGGGCGTCTCCACAATGACAAGAAGGTTCTGTACGGCTCGAAGCTCACGAAAAGTACGCTGCCATTTGTCGCGTTGGCTTCAAACCACGAATTGGGAGTACTCGTCAGGTTCGCTGCGATGAAATCTGTAATTCTCAGGCAGACATCAGTGGAAGCGCACTCGAAGCCGCGATCGATGTCCGAGCTGCGCACCTTTCGACGCATCAAAGTCGGACGCGATTTCCGGCAGACTGTCGGCAGATTTCCATCCTTGTAGAGCGGGCGCTTTCCAGCTTTTCGCCGCATCAGATGGACCCGACACAGCCCCCTTGAGCGAGCCGTAATCGGTGCGTGTCGTCTTGACTTCAGCACCGTTGAATGTGACTGCTGTCACAGCTTTTGGCGCGACCACCTCCAGCGCCGTCGTCGTGGCATTGACTTGACCAACAATGCGAAGCGTCGATTCGTCGAGCGTGGCGTTTGCAACGTGATACAGACCGCTGATGAGCACATGCTCTCCAAAACCTGTAATGTACTCGAGGCTCCCTGCAGGAGCGGTCGACATCGGTGCCGACAGGTAGGCGGCCTCTGTGGAACTGAGGATCAACAACAGATCGTTGTCGCCTGCAGTGAGCGGCACATGAAAAGCGGCAGTACCTGCGACAGGTTTCCAAGTGATGAGCAAGCCCTTGTCGGTATCTTTCATCGTCACGCCGTCTACTTGCGCCGTGGTCGCTAGCTTGTCGTCGCTAGACTGGAGCAGCAGCTCATGTTGTTGTGCGGCATGTCCATGCGCGAGCACCACGTCACGGCCGTCTATGACGGAAACGACGCTCACATCTGCGGTGGAGTAGAGCAAGGTCGCCTTGGAAGCGCTCAGCACTCGAGATACAGGAATGATGACAGAGTCGCGGCCGAGTAAGGAGATGCCTTCGCTCTCTTGTGGAATCTTGAATTGACCACCAATCGTCTGAACGTCGAGCTTGAAGCTGCTCGTCTGAGTCGAAGTGGAGTCTTCATGACGGACCACGTAGAATGCAGAATCGCCATCTCGTAACTCGCTGACCAGGATGCCGTTACTCGCTTGTCGTGACCTGAGAGTGGCTCGACTGAACGCAGGAAACGACGCAAGGAAGCGTCCGAGCTGAGCATTCTCGTAGAGCTTGTCGAGCTTGATGCGATTTTCCGCCAAGGATGCACCCTGCACGTACGAAGATGAAGCCGTTCGTTGTCAGTGCGAAGCTAATAGACACGCGATTGGTGGGCTACTTGCGTATGAGTATGAAGTATAGACGAGACCGCCGAATGCCAAGTGTCCCCAATTAGTTCCGCCGTCTGGATAGCGCGTTCTCATGGGGAGGTCAGCGGCTAGCAAAATCTCTGCTGAGGTCCACTCGCTACTCACATCCCATGTACTGCGAGATCATTTTCAGACCCTGAGACAGAACATCCTTGTCAAAGACTCGAATGAAATCCGGCCCAGTGAGCTCTGCACAAGCTTCATAACCGTAGCCGCCAAAGGGGTCGTACGAGCCTCCCTGATGCAGCGAGGAGCAACTGTACGATCAATCAAAGATCTATCTGTGTGTCGCGTCGGCCGCGCACTTACTTGAAACTCTGGAATGAAGTTGGGATTAGTAGAGCGCACGTGTGTGCTCTCAGTGTAGTTCTTCGTGGGACTCCACTTGCTGGGCGAGCCACAGTCGAAACCTTGAGGGTAGGAGTCTACGCCCCAAATGTCCAGCGACGCATCGCTTTGAAAGTCGTTGCGACCCTCTAGCGAGTTAAAGGTCAGCGGCACCTCCAGATCTTTGCCCTTATAGTACGTGATCAGCTCGTCGAAATGAGCCTTGTACGCTCCGTCGAGTTTGTCCTGGAATTCATTCTCCACTTGGACAGCGATGACTGAGCCTGCGGACGTGTCTAGCTTGCCATCTGCACCCAGCTTGACCTGGCGTGGCTTTGTGACATCGACGACGGCGTCCAAGTAGGGCGTCCACGCTCGTCGATACGCATCGTCGGTCGTGCGTAGCGTCGCATTGAGATTTTGCACCCAGCCAGGCATGCCTCCGCCGGTGGTCTCAGCGTTGATGTAGGGTCCTGGGCGAACGATGACGAACAGACCGACATCGCGTGCAGTGTCAAGAAATTGAGCAATATCGTTGAAGCCCTTTTGAGAGATCGAACTGGCATCGTTGGCCGGCATTGTGAGGCCCCAATGGGTATAAATGGAGATGGCATTGAACCCTCCGCTCTGCGGGCGAGCACGGGAAGTACGTGAGCCTCCCCTCCACGAAAGCGCGCCGATGCAAGAAATTTCACCTTTAACTTCTGCAGAACATCTCTCCACCTGTCGGCATCAAGAAAGCTGAGGTGAGAAAACCTCTGATGCGGCTGGTGGAAGAGGGAAAGCCTTTACTCACAAGCCTGGAACAGGAAGGCGCCAAGGGTGAATTTCGCCGCTCCACAGAGTGATGGGAGTGCCGGCGATGAACAAGCTAGTACCGTCCCACATGACCGCACCTTGTCCCGAATTTTGACGAGCGGCGATCTCAGCGTCACTTTGAGCTATCGGGTGAGGAACAGCGAGCGCTGAAGCAGGCTGAAGGTGCTGCGAGAGCAGACATACCAGTAGAAGGGTGCTCAGCAGAGCGCTGAAGCCCAAGGAGCGCTTGACAAGTGTCACCATGGTCTCTCTGTCAGCGGTCGGCATTCGCGATGGTTTGCTTCGAGCAGGTAGGGTAAGGATCCTCAGACTTGGAACGCTGCCTCTTATACAAGTCTCGCGAAGCGCGCATGGAGCTCAAAGATCCTCGCAGCCTCGTGAGCAGGGCCTGCTCATCGGGACGGGGCGCATTGACGGGCTTGCGCTCGCTCACAGCATTCGGCCAATTTGCGCAGAAGGCGAGAACATCCTGGTCGTGCCTGATAGTCTGCATCAAGTCTGCCAAGTTGACATCTTGATTCGTGATTGTGCGAAGAAGCATGGTATGGCACTAGCACCTCATTCGCTCATTACCGGCGCTAGTACGGGCAAACACAGCCTGTCGACGTTCGCACGATCCCGCAGGTACATGTCTGAGCGGAGCTTGCCCAAGACGCCGTAGGTGCCGAGAGGAAGGTGCAACTGGTCGGTAATCTTATCCAGGAAGTCATCTCGCATGACTTTGGCCCATGCAAATGTGGGGCTCCATGTATATGCGGTGGTGGTGCATGATGAAGGAGAGGAGCATTCATCACGACTCGTCAACTTGGTGTTGTTTTGTGGGGAAGTACATACGTGAAGCGCGACGCGCCATCATCTCGGCGATCTCCTCAACGCGCGTCTTTTGACGAAAGAATGCCGGCGCTAAATAAGCGCTTCGCGTAAGTTCACCGCGCAACGTGTACTCATCAGCACTCACACTCACGACTCATCACGACTGATCTGCGATTATCAGGAACTCGATCCTGATTCATTAGGTGATTGAGTCAAGAGTTACAGACCACGACCCTCACATATGTTCGCGTACATTCCTTTTATTCTGCTTGATGATCAGCGCTGACTTAAGGTCTTGGCATCACACTGTTGAGTAAACATGATCACACGAAGTCCAAGACTTCCGAGCGTAGTAGCGCACACTCCAAATGAGTAAGGAAATGTTACTCCTCAGGTTGGCGAACAGAATCAATTGAATCAAGAAGAATACTGAGTTGATAAAGGGCAGCTAGGTATATTTCGCTTTTGATTAGCTGCTCCAATCTGTGCTTCCAATAAGCTGTGCACACTGGCGACTGGCGAGACTGGTCTCCAGAGCAATACTCCAATAATTAGAAACAAGCTTATTTTCATTCAAATTGTTGTCTCGTACATGAAATGAATGCTCAATGAATCAAGCATGCAACAGATAGGTAGGTAGCCATCCAGGTTAGGGTATATGGCCCAATAAGGCATCTCACCATACATGCTGTATATCCTGGATCGATGCTGAGCGAACCATTCAAGACTCTTGCATGTGCACAAGATATACGAGCGCCAGGACACAGGCACACTTTGCATCGGATGAGCAGTATGGAGCGCCCGCTAGCAGGCCACTCGACTTTCTAGCAGAGCAAATGACGAGGAATGACGAGTATAACCTCCAATCGCCGCTCTCATGGCCTTGAGCCACCCCGCTATAGTCAAAGAACACGTTCGCCCTCCCCCCATCAAAGAGGATATTGGCGTGAGATGCGAACCAGCAGCTGGAAGAGGATGGGTGTGTGAGTGCTAGGAGAAAGTGACCTGCGTGCAAGCAGGACCCAGTCGAAGTCGGATATCGTACATTTGTAGTCTCGAACACTCACAACTGCGCCGTCCAATAAGTGCGCCCGTACCTTCGGCTTGAGACTATGCATCGGGGCGCTTCAATGGAATCTTCGCGCGCAGGCGGCATGAAAGCATGAGGCCTGGCATCAGCAGCTACTGTACGGTATACATCAGAAGAGTCTTGAGTATAGTAGACCGTCAATGTGGATTTATGCTGCGCTGGCGCCCCCTCAACCCCCAGCGCCTGGCGGATGCAAAGCAGCCAGCCCACCAAAGCGATGCACATCCACAAATAAGTGCATACTCGATCGAGACCCACGGCCAGACCACATCACTCACACTCTGACTCAAGCGGCCGTACACCGTCGAAATTGATTGGGTCGGGTCAGGTGCTTGTATAGAGTGCGTGCTGCATGAGTAAGCAATTAACGCGCCTTCGCTGTTCGCTTTCAGGGTCAAGTGGACCTAGGCCATTTGTCTTTGTGGAAGGCAGCAGAGGAGCGGCGCTTTGAGATCGACCAGTGTTGTGAGTGTGAGTGTTCCTGTGCTCATTCATGCAGTCGTGGGTGTCTCTTGCGCCCGCTTGCATCGACCATGCATGCATGCAGCAAGTTGCTCGCGGCATGTTTCCAAGACGTACAGTACGCCGAATGTGAATCGTGAATGGTGGGGGCGCGCGACTCGCTTAGACTCGAGGAGCAGCAGTTGGAGCGATCGAGGAGGATGAGATTAAGCGCGTGTGTGCGCGCGGCATGCATGCATGCGTGCGTGCATGGAGAGATCGATCGATTCATTGCGCCAACGCTAGCCCCAACCTCCGACATCTACTGCGCCGTCCAGTGAGTGCACATACTGGACCCCCTGCTGCGAACGTGGCCGCAACTTGTTTCATTGGCCTCAGAAGTCACGAGTATAAAGAGGCAAAGGTCGTCGTGCTTCGCGCTCGCCTATTCGCCTTCCTCATGTCTCGTCTCCAAGTCTCAGTCCGTCGTCTCCGATCGCCTCGTTCCTTCTCTCGCGCTTCTCCACCCAGTCTCCGGCACCGTCGCTTTCCGGCGTTTGATACGATCCCACCTTCATTATACACTCGTGACTTCTCTCCCGCGTGCAGCTCAGCTCTATAGGTCCCGTTGATCCGCTGTCAAGTCACAGCACTGCGCGCAACACAGTCCAACGCTTCTTGAAGCAGCATTCAAAGACAGAGAGAGCTTACGAAAGCGCAGCGCGCTGTTCTTCAAAGACCTCAAGCGTCCTTCACAGTCACCTAGCGTCCGGTCACGCAACTCTTTGTCACCCTTGCAGGCTTTGACAGCCCTACTTCGATCCGCTTATTCCGACACTCGACAACCAACGCAGCAATGCGCTCACCCGTCATTACCTGTCTTTTTGCCATTTGGCTGCTCGCCACCCACGCTCACGCGTCTCATCAACCTGGCCAGGCCCACGATGTCGGCCACCACAGTAGCAACCATCACGGCACCCCTTTCCACGGTGGACATTCCTCCCACCGTCACAAGCGAGGCTCTTGCCGTGCCCACAAGCCGAGTCCTGGATCTGGAGCCGACTACAAGCCTCACAGCCACAAGAAGCACGGTGGTGGAAGGGGCGGCGGTGCTCACTGGCCTGCGCCCACTCGTCCCGTCGTTGGAAAGGGTACGCACGTTCCAGGTCACAAGGTCCCTCACTGGACTCCCGCAGGTCCCGCCGCTCTTTCTTCCGCCATACAGTCCTGCTGGCCCGGCCAGAATGAACCTAGGCCGACGGTGATTGTCACTGACGGTAGCTCCAGCGTTGTCATGGGCGGTGGGCACGTCAGCACTACTCGCAGCAGCAGCGGTAGCGGCTCTCCTAGTCCCACTGGCACTATCTCCGGCTCATTGAGCGAGAGCAAGACCGCTTCCCTTTCCAAGACATCCTCCTCCTCCTCCTCCTCCTCTGTATCGTCTTCAAAGAGTGATAGCTCTTCGGCGAGCAGCAGCACCAGCAACACTGAATCGGTGCCCACGACTGCAAGCCAGACCGGCACCGAGTCCAAGTCGGCCAGTCAGACGTCTTCCAGCAAATCTTCGAGCAGCACCAGCAGCTCCTCAGAGACCAGTACGTCCTCGACAGCCACCAAGACTGGAACCTCCACTAGCTCCACCTCGACCAGCAGCTCGTCTAGCTCGTCTAGCAGCTCAAAAGTGACCAGCACTACAAGTACGAGCACCAAGACGTCCAGTACGTCGACCAGCAGCTCCAGTACCTCCACCAAGCCTGTCCGACCTACCTACTCGGGCAAGCCAGGTTCTCAAGCTTGCCGGTCTGGAACGTACGACTTCCGCAAGATCACAAAGGACGCATTCGTCGAGATTGGCAACGATGTCAACACTCCCGCAGGTCAATCTGCCGACTTTATCAACCAGTCCGGCTCTTCTTCCACTTGGAAGCTGACAGGTGCTGGTCTCGAGGTGATGCTTCCCAGACCTCAAGGCACTCAGCAAATCTTTAGCAGCACGGTGCAGACCAGCTTCCTTTTGCAACTGAACTCGCGCGTCTCTTGGAGGATGCAAGTTTCAGACGTCAAGGGTACGGTCACCTCCGCTACCATGTACGGAGGGCAAGGTTCGGACGAAATCGACATCGAACTACCATCCTCCAACTACCAAACGAACATCTTCGGCAAGGGAGTCTCGGGTCCTAATTCGGCTTGGCACTCTTCCGACCTGGTCGGGTCCAAGACTGCAGGAGCTGTGCACGAGTACTCTTTCACTTGGACTAAGGACTACATCGAGTGGACTTTCGATGGCAAGGTGCAAGTCAGAAAATTGGCAAAGGATCTCAACGGTGCTTACCCACTCGGAGGCTCCCCACTCGCATTTGGTATCTGGCAGCCGAACACGCCAGGATCTATCGCTTGGGCTGGAGGTCCGCTGGATTGGTCCAAGTATGCCGTCGGACAGGGCCCCAAGGCACTCATCGAGTCCATGACTGTCCAGTGCAACCTTTGAGAGGGAGATGTTTCTTCACTCGCGTCGCAAACTTTGTGCACACTGCCCCTTGTCGGATCGTCTATACCCATGCTCGGACTTGCTCCTTGCAAACCTGTTGCCCCATGGACAATATGGAATTGCTGTTAATTGGCCTTGCAAGACCGCATCGCCTCCAATCGTGAATCGTGAGCCCGAGAAGCGCTTGATCGCTCACGATTGTGGTACCACTGCGTGAACGCATGCATGACCGTTGGCGAAAATGCGCGTCGACGGTTCAACGGCAGACGCGCATGTCAACGGAAACGAGAGTTGGCTCTCCAAAATTCACAGCCTACAGTGCTCGTCTGTGACATGGTGGGCAGATGACCTACAAATAATGGTCAACGTTGTCGAATCCGCCACGCGGTCTATTGGATGCGGAGAATCTGAACAGCTGATGGTGTCAAATCCCACTGATTGCTGAGCGCATCGCTTAAAGAGGCGGTTGATGACTCATATTCTTGCCATTTCGCGATCCTTCACCGTCTCTCACTTGGCCCCTTTCTTCGACTCCTTGCAAGACACTTTCCGATGAATTCCTTGGCACCTACCTATCTCGCCCCGCCTCCACAGACGGAGAACAGCAATTTTGCTTCGAACCCTTCGCATCTCCATCGTTACGTACCCTCTGTGCAACTTCCATGCGCCAATCAGGACGCAGACGCATTGACGCACGACGGCAAGCAAGATTCGGCGTCCAGCACGTATGACGCGAATGCGAACGGAAGACTGCTGCTGCGAATGAAGCATGCTGAGGATGAGCCGCTGGATTTGAGGACATTGAAAGATCCGAGCAGCGAGGCGGAAGATGCGTCTACCGTGGCAGAGGCGGCCATTCATCAGCCCGAACTGGCCATCCAACAACTTTTAGCTACTTACAATGCAGCCATTGCGCGCGTCATTGCTTGTGAGTGCCATCTCGTCATCTCTCACGAGCAGGCACTACACATTTGATACGACGGCGCCCCTTCTCGAAGTCGAGGCGAGCCGAGCCAGCAAGCAAGCAATTCCCGCTTATTGCCCCATCTCTCCACGACCGCGGATCAAAGATTCGCGACGACGCGGTATTTTTGGGCTCACCACACGTCTCATTCTGCTCTTTGCCCCCCCATCCCCCAGATGATGGATTCCTGTGGTCCACTCCAGGCGTGACGTTGGCAGCTCATGCCTTCCTCTTTAGCGTAGCTCTAGCCGGTGTCAACTCTCAAGCAGCGCGCATCATTTCAATGTCCCTCAGCGTGCTCATCAGTTTCATCATCCATCAAGTATTTGCGCGACACAGACAGTGAGTGCACTCCCCACTTGCCCCCTTCCGACCCCCCATCCCC